AATTGACACTTCTAGGTGTTACATGATCCTCAAGTAATCCCAAAGTGAAACACTTTTAAAAAGCACAAAGTCAAGAATATTGACTTTGGTGCTTTTACTTAATTTTCGAAACTTAGAGGTCGTTCGGCTTGTCTTTTTGGGAAGATCTTCTTGTAGCTTTGACAGTCAAAAGATGCATTGAGCTTTTGCATTAAGATCTGAGCAGCCTAAAGCCTATTTGGTTAAGGCGAGTCTGGATCTGCTGACCACGCTTGTATGACCACATAGCTGACCACCATATGAGAAGATARCACATGTCCATACACGCAAAACACTTTGGCATGTGTGGGGAACTAACGGAGGGGTGTTAAGCCCCACCGTTAGCTCCCAAAAAAATTTCAAACTCAATTTCAAAAATAGTTTTCTCTCTTCTTCGTCCTTGAACCCCGTCTTTGTCTTCAAATACTATTCATCTCTGAAATCTTAATCACCATCTCCTCATTTATCCTTCATTTTTGTTTGAACCTCATTCTCTCTCTACGTCTCTGAGCTTCTCTCTCTTTTTCTTTGAGCACTGCTCACCGTTTAAAAATTTAAAACCCTAATCACTTCTCTGAACCTTATCTTCCCAACTTGTAATCCGATTATTTCCAGCATTCACAACTACCATCGTATTGCTCTCATTGAAGCTACTACAGGTGAGTCTTTTAATGAAAAAGATTTTATGCTCTCTAAAAAATGTTCTATTTTTTAAGTTAATATTTTATATCACTTGATGGTTTCATATTGATTTCATCGAACTGCTCTCTAACTTTACATATCAAAACAAAAAGTTATTTCTCTTAGTTGATCCACTTTTGTATTTAAATTGTGGTAATGCAGTAATTCTAATTTATTGATTACTGTTAAGAAGTGTTCTAGCTCCTACTTTGATTTATTATTTTTAGTAGCATTAGAGTCATTTATTTGGAATTTTGAACAAGTAGAAACTTGATTAATTCTATGAGAAATTACATAATTTTGGAACAAACGGTATGTTACTTTGCACAATTAGTCACGTAGTGGGTTAGCCTAGGCGATGAATGAATCAACTTTCCATGTGCTCTCATAATGGTTAATTTAAAAATTTGAAACCATTATAGTATCTAAGGCCCAATTTGGAAAGAGTTCAAATGCAAAAATGTACCGTACAAATACATAAAAAAATCATACAAAATACAAGATTTTGCACTCTACATATTTGTATTTGTACTCCTTCCAAATGGAGCCTAAGGAATGAGGATCTCAATTTAGATCTAGAAATTGGTATAAAACCTATTCTCATTGAGAAAATATATTAGGATGAATTTGGAGTGGTGGCTTGGTAAAAGTGTTAGTGTTGAAAAAGAACAATCACTCAAAACATTCATTCCATTAGAGCAATAAACCATGCTAGTAGTTTGTTTCTAACACACCTTTGGAGTTTTTTCATAATTAAAGCAACTTGTAATAAGTAAGTATACTTTAACAATCAAAACTAATATCACTCAAAGCTCACAAAATGGATAGTCAATATGATTCCATTCCAACTTAGTGATCTAAAGTCACCTTAACTACATTGGTAATATAAATTAACTGCCATACTTTATGAGCATATATTTGAAAATCTACTACTTTAAAACCACTACCATTATGACAAAAACTATATGCTTCCCAAACCGCTTTCATAAAGTTGTTCTCTAATACTGATATTTCCTTCTCAAATTGTTTTAGAACCTCTTTCTTCAATCCACTTTCTTATACTGGGTTCATTTATCCATCTATTTGTTGCATGTGCCAATTCAAACACCTAATCAAAATTATAAGGGATATCCCATCCAAAATAGTTATATTTTCTACTTGCATAGATGAAGTACATTTTGTCTTTTATTATCACTTTTATTGGATATCTTTGGTGTAACATTTGGCTTGTGTGGACAATTGCAATGATGGTTCACATATTTCAGCACACATGCTTCAGAACTTGAAGAAATCTGACTTGTAAGCACCACTTACAAATATTCTTACCTGTTATGCAAAATAAAAAAGAATAAGATACAACTTAAATTTTAAATATGAATATCTTCTACAAATGCCACATATCAAACTAGCATATGCATTGTTGTTTATTTCTAGTTCAACTTGTTCAAGTTTTAGTTGGATTAGATAAAGCAACCATGGGTATACTAACAGATCTAGTAACTAATAAACAATAGTTTTGCCTATATTATATACTCATACATTATTTTCTTCTTGGCACAAAACTTTTTGAACATGATGTTGGATGGATAGGAAGTAAATGTTTCTCAGAACACTATGATTAAAAGTCCCTATCTCCTCTTCTAGTGCAATGTTTCTCAGAGCACTTGGGTAAATAAAGTCATTGTATGAGAGCTCTCAATCGATTGGAAATATACACCTAACTAGTGGATCTGTTGTTCTCTGGGTTGAGATTAATGTAAATCTTGGGCATATGTTTCAATGCAGATATTGGTGTTGGTCGGTTTGTGAGCCATCCAATTAACCAGTCTAGCATTTCCATTTAGAATTAAAAAAGAAGAAATAAGCGAAATGAGTGTTATCCATTAAAGAAATAACAACAAGAGACGTCTAAAATCCAACAAAATAAACTTAGGGAAATTGGCTTACTAGTACCCTATGCTTTCAACTAGAAACAAATAGGGGGAATAAGGTATAAGTATAAATTAAACGGAGAACTTAGAGAAGTTTTGAAAGACTTACATGTAATAGCACCAACGAGAGTAGAATGATGGTAGTTGCAAATGTCGGGGATAATCGGATTCCAATAAGTTGAAAATCGGATTACAAGTTGGGAAGGTAAGGTTTAGAGAAGTGATTATGGTTTCAAATTTTTAAACGGCGACTAGTGTTCAAAGATAAAGAGAGAAAAGTTCAGAGATGCAGAGAGAGAATAAGGTTCAGAATATATTCCAAAATGCAGAGTTAGAGAGCAGTTCGATGAAATCAATACGAAACCCCCAAGTGATTTAAAATAAAACATTTTTTTAGAGAGCAGAAAATCTTTTTCATTAAAAGACTCACCTATAGTAGCTTCAATGAGAGCAATACGATGGTAGTTGTGAATGTTGGAAATAATCGGATTACAAGTTGGGAAGATAAGGTTCAGAGAAGTGATTAGGGTTTTAAATTTTTAAACGGTGAACAGTGTTTAGAGATAAAGAGAGAGAAGTTCATAGACGTAGAGAAAGAATGAGGTTTAGACAAGAATGAAGGAGAAATGAGGAGATGGTGATTGGGATTTCAGAGATGAACAATATTTGAAGACAAAGACAGGGTTCAGAGACGAAGAAGAGAGAAAACTATTTTTGAAATTGAGTTTGAAATTTCTTTGGGAGCCAACGATGGGGCTTAACACCCCTCCGTTAGTTCCCCACACATGTCAAAGTGTTTTGCGCGTGTATGGACAGGTGTTATCTTCTCATGCGGTGGTCAGCTATGTGGTCATACAAACATGGTCAGTAGATCCAGACTCGGTTTAAGGCATGTCTTTCCGTGCATCTTTCCATCCAAAGACGAATAGAAAAAAATTGCAAAAGTTCCATTTGGAGCTTCCCGAAAATTGCCCGATTTGGGCTTTTCACGTCTTTTTGGCATATCGACTATTGGCGGCTAAATCTGCCGCAAACCAAATAGAAAAATACCAAATCACAGTCTTCCAGACTTATAAATGGCCGACAGACTGTGCAAAAAGATGCACTCATGCACCAAACGGGGCCTTACGCCAGAAAACATAGTTATCCGAAGGCTATGGATACCTTTTGGGCAACGGTTATCAAACATAAAAGTTTGTCAAAATGTTCGTCTAAATTTAGATGATAGTTTGTCAAACATGAAATATTGCTTTGTCTTTTAGCTATTAAAATAATTAAAGGATATAATGATCTATCCAACATCAGTTTTAGCCATTAAGAAACTCAAAACATCCTTGACGAAGCTATAAGCTTTTCGTTTCAGCATTTACAGTTGTTATGAAACACTAAACAGCCCCCAAGTATTGGATTGCGGGCATTTCGTTATTCAATGAAAAAGCCCCTTAACCAAAATTCATCTTCTACCCACAAGACCTGACCCACACCTACTAATGTCTTATTAACATTTTCGATATTTGAGTAGGTAGGTAGGTGTGAATAGGATTCTTGTGGAGATCTGAATTCCCCCAGCTAAGCTCGCTCGCCGGTGTATTGGCTGGTTTGTTCCAATCTTAACGTGGAAACAAATCTCACAATCAGTAATTTGGGAAAAGGGGTAAGGAGGTAGAAATTTAGAAAAGCATAAACCTATTAACCTGATCTTTTTTTTTTTTTAATATATTTATTGGAAATTTGGAAGGCAGACATAATATGCGGCTTTTGAAAAAAACGAACAAGGAAACAAATAAACAAATGACAATAGGGCGTTGGGTTGGTGCAGGTGGCGGTGAGTGGGAGAATGCCAAATTGTCAATTGACCAAATTGACCAATCCTAATGCTTAAAGTGTACACTAAAGACCATCTCCTCCGTCAATTGTGTTTGATAATTGAGAGTAGAGACTGATTTTTATAGGCATTCACGCATCACCTTCATTCATCAATCAACATCCTTACCATACAAGGACCAGAGTGTAGATACTGTATTTGACCATTGATTTGAGACGCTCGCTGCTGGGTCTTTACTCTTTCTGTCTTTCGGTGCCACCCAAACCCGTTGAAAATGGAACACAAGCTGAAGCAGCAATAATATATTAATATCGAAATTTAATATATTTTGCATAATTATAAATATGTCCTTTACCAAACATTTCAGGCCCCTCACCACTCAACAGTGTAACAGTACTGTTCTTGGCTTTGGCGGGTTACTACTTACAAAAAAAGTATGAAATGTTTGACTTTTGAGTATGGTTGAAGTCAAATTCTTCCATTGCTTCTGGTTTTATAGCTACAGAGACATCATCACTGAGAGAGAGGGAGAGAGAGACCTAGAAACGAATACCGAATACTGAAGGTGGCAAGTGGCAACACCATGAAAGCATCCATTGCCATACTACTTGCTCTATTCTTGTATGACTCTCTTAACCATTCTCAAGCTCTAACTGGACCTCGGCTCAACAACTCTACGGATTTTGATGCTCTCCTCTCTTTCAAATCCCACATAACTCATGATCCCTACGGCATTCTCCACACCTGGAACCCAAACACCTCGTTCTGCAACTGGGAAGGAGTTCTATGCAATCCCAGCAAGCAACGAGTTACTGGTCTCGCCCTCGGGAATCTCACTCTTGCCGGAACAATCACCCCTCTCATCACCAATCTCTCTTTCCTCCGCCTAATCGACTTGCAGAACAATAGCTTCAGCGGTTACCTTCCAACAGACTTGGGCAAGCTCTTTCGGCTAGAGACGCTCGTCCTAGCTTCCAATGTCATCCATGGAACCATACCCTCCTCGCTTAGCCTCTGTTCTAAGCTTCGGCTTCTTGATTTGTCTGATAATCAGTTTCACGGGTCAATCCCACCAGAATTAGGTATGCTATCCAACCTTCGAGATTTGAGTTTTGCAAAGAATAACCTTACGGGTTCAATCCCTTCTTCCTTTGGAAACCTTTCCTCTCTTAACAACCTCATCTTTCTCTCAAACAATCTACAGGGATTCATTCCAAATGAATTAGGTCAGCTCCGTTTCTTGTTACAATTAAGCTTAGCTGATAACAATCTCTCAGGTGAGATTCCTACCTCTCTATACAACCTTTCATCTTTAATAATCATGAGTTTGGCCAAGAACAGGTTTTCAGGTCATTTGTCATCCAATTTGTTCTCTACTTTACCCAATCTAGATACCTTGTTTGTGGGTGGCAACTTGCTACAAGGACCAATCCCCGCATCTCTCTCCAATGCTTCAAGCCTGAAACGACTTGATCTCTCATCCAACCAATTCACAGGACAGGTTCCCCTGCTCTGGAATCTTCCAAATCTTTTAATTCTGAATCTTGAGATCAATGGTTTGGTAAGCAACGGTGAAAACGGATTGGATTTCATCACCTCATTGCAAAATTCCACCCTTCTACAAGTTTTTTCTGTTGCTACAAACCAACTCACTGGTCCTATTCCCTCCTCGATAGGTAATCTCTCAACTCAGCTTTCTCTGCTAGTAATGGGTGAAAATCATCTTCAAGGAAATATACCAAAAGAAATTGGGAATCTACATAGTCTCATAATGTTGTCTACAGAATCGAATTCCTTAACCGGGAACATTCCTTCTACAATTGGAAATTTGCAAAATCTGCAGCAACTTTTCTTGGAGATGAACAGTTTGTCGGGGCCCATACCTGAATCTCTGCAAAACCTGACAGGGCTGTATGAATTAGGTTTGAGTAGAAACAAATTAACAGGCAGAATCCCTTCAAGCCTTTCAAATTGCCAGCATCTTCAGACTTTGGATCTCTCTCACAATGAGCTAAAGGGAGAAATACCTAAGGAGATCTTTGGATATCCAAGTTTAGGGTTTCTTCTTAATCTATCATGGAATTCTCTTACTGGTTCTTTGCCTTCAGAAATTGGAAATTTGAAAATGGTACAAGGTATTGACATCTCCAAGAATAAGCTATCAGGGACAATTCCAACTACAATCGGGCAGTGTTCTAATCTCTTGTATCTTGATCTGTCCAACAATTCTTTCCTAGGTTCAATTCCCGATTCAATGGCCAACTTAAAAGGTATAGAGTATTTGGACCTATCATCCAATAATCTATCTGGCTCCATTCCATTGTCTCTAGCTTCCCTCCAGTTCCTTCAGAACTTGAACCTCTCTGGCAATCATCTTCAAGGAAAGGTACCCACAAGAGGTATCTTCTTGAATTCAACTGCCATATCTACCACCGGAAATTCTGAGCTCTGTGGTGGTGCTCCTATACTAGGGCTACCTGATTGTGTTGTCACTGAAATGCATTCTAATAGATGGAAAACAAAGCTGGTCGTAGGACTTGCAATGGGTTCTGCGGGGCTTTTCATACTCATGGCCTTGGGTTTCTTCTTGCTGTTATACAGGAAGAGGAAGCCAGAACTCAAGTCTACAGATGCTGAGATCATTTCTTTTGAGGATCCCCACAGATTATATACATATTACGATCTCAGAGCTGCAACCAGTAATTTCGATTCAGAGAACCTAATCGGAGAAGGGAGTTTTGGGTCTGTTTACAAGGGAGTTCTTAGTGATGGAACTCCGGTTGCTATCAAGGTTTTTAACATGGATCAGCATGGAGCCTCCAAGAGCTTTCTTGCTGAGTGTGAAGCTCTGCGGAACGTTAGGCACCGCAACCTTGTAAGGATCATGAGTGCATGTTCAACTAATGACTTCAAGGCATTGGTTCTGCAATTAATGTCAAGTGGAAGCTTGGAGGAGTGGCTTCATCATACAAGAGGGTGGGGGATTGAAAGGAGGTCCCTAAATATACAACAGAGGTTGGAAATTGCCATAGAAGTTGCAGCTGCAATGGAGTATTTGCATCACGATTGTGAAGTTCCTGTGGTGCATTGTGATCTCAAACCAAGTAATGTCCTCATGAATGAAAACATGACTGCTCATGTTGGGGACTTCGGACTTGCAAAAATGCTTCATGGGACTGCCTCAAATCATCAACAAAGCAGCAGCACTATTGGGTTGAGAGGATCAATTGGCTACATTGCACCAGGTACTTGTTTATAATTGAGTTATTTATTTGTTTTTTCATTCATCAAGGGTCACTTGTGGTTATCATACCGTACTGTCATCTTGAGTTGCAGAGTATGGTTTGGGAGGAACAGTGTCAACCAAAGGTGATGTTTACAGTTATGGGATGCTTCTGCTTGAATTGTTCACTGGGAAGAGACCAACGAACGAGATGTTCAGTGGGGGACTGAAATTTCAAGAATGGGTTAGGACAGCATTTCCTGAACAGGTAGTGGAAATCTTAGACGTTGAATTGGTGGAAGATTGTAATCTGTGGAACAAGGACTGCTTGGTTTCAGTCATCAACATTGGTTTATCATGTGCAAGTGAAATCCCTGAAGAGCGACCAAACATGAGAGATGTGTCTGCAATGATCAAAAGAACTAGGAACTTGCTTACTAATTCTAATAATAAAATTTAATTATGTAAACTCACTTCTTCAAATGGGTCAGAAAGATATGACTCGAGAGTATGAGATCAATTCTTGTAATTAATCCTTGGATTGCAAGTCATTTTCAGATTTTCTTCCGCGCGCTACTGGAAATGTTCTGCGTTGCATATGCATCAACGAAGTCATCGCATTGGTGATTCGGCAAGTAACTCACGAATCATTAACCGATAATTTACGTAAGATGATCAAAACTCAACTGAAAAATACAGACAATATGCAATTTAACAAACTGATGGATGCAAGAAAGCGAGTTCAATTTGAAATACAGTCATAATGACTTCAATGTTCCCGCCGGGTTGACCCAACAAGTTCAGACTGTAACTGCAGGGTTACATCCACAATATTCTTCGGTACAAGTTCTTCTCCCCAGAGCGAATGAGTACTAGGACGAGTTTTGAGCTGAAAGTAAATTTGCTTGCTTTCGTTACTTGTTTTTTTGCTCAATAAGAAGTAACTGTAGTGATTCTCGTGTATTCAAACTTAAAATTTCATTGTTACTTCTCAGGAGCACAAGGATCACCAGTATTGGTTCTCTGGAACCATACCAAACTCCATGCTCGATGGATCATCTTTTTACATTTAATTTACAAGACTAATTAACTCTGTAAACTCAAGGCCAACAGACTATTTTCTTTTAATATCCTTCCGATACTCAACTCCTAAGAACTAAGATATCTCGCTGATAGTGCATCTCCAATGCTACGAACCCAGTGGCGGTTGGTTGAACGGTGCTCTAGTTCTAGTATTCTGCATAAGTGGGACTGTCACACTCGGCAATATCTCTTGCTGCACCCCCATTATCGACAGTCTCTCCAAGCCATTTGGCGAAATTGTAGTAGTGTGGCAGTACAAGTTTTGGTTATCTAGCATATACAAAGGAGGAAGCTGAGCATTCATTTCACTATTGATGATCTCTACAGTGCCAGTAGTAGTACTGGCTTTCACTGCATGTGACAGATTATGATCGAACAGAGGCTGGTGGTTGAGACCATACTGTACATCCATGGTGTCTCGTTGTGAAGAAACTTGGAACCAGTTGGCCGTTTCAGTAGTTGTTTGAGCTTGACAACTTGGACGACTAACAGGCGTGGCATCATTAGCAAGGCATGCTACTTGATTCCCCAGAAATTCTATCTCCTCCTTAAGATGAGCCACCTGCAAATAATTGAAGTATAAACAACTGATGAAGCTTGTATATATACATGTCCAGAGATATCATTTTGATTGTAATTAATGTAAGCGTAAGAAAGAAGATGAGAGCAAAATAACCTGCTGCTGGAGCGCTAGGATATGTGCAACACAACCATATATAGGATCTCCCATACGAGCTAGTGCTTCATAGGAGATGGTGAGGGCCGCTTCACTTCGGTTGTGCACTGGGAGGTGCGACAGTAGCTTGGAGACATTGCTCGCTCCAAACACCTTGTGAACCGCGGCAAAATGATTAGCTCCCTGTTCGTAACAGAAGTAAGGAGCGAACACACATCCACTGCTGCATTTTCTCCTCAAGAACTTGCATGCTCCACATGATGATGATGATGATCCAACTCCTGCCATTGTCCTGGACCTTTGATTAGAAAAATGCTTATTGCCTACTAGAGTTGTATCTTTATATATACCATCCCTAGAGGCTAGAGCTAGAAGTGCCTGATTTTAATGCTAAAATTTCCTTTTCCTTTTTTATAGAAGAAGGAGCATTATATTACTGCTTTAGCCAAAAAGTTAGTTCTACTCCCGGTGGGTCTCCTTGGTGGCCTACATGGGTCATTCTCAAAACAGGTAACCTTTCCTGATTCATGCCTAAAAAGGGATTTTTATTCATTGAGATTCCTCACAACCAAACAAGAGAACTGGATGCAACATTCAAGCAAGAAGTACTCAAAACGAGAAATTATTGCTCCGGACTAGTATTTTAAACTCTCCACGCCTTAAATCATCAGCATTGTCATCGCCTAGGAAAGTACAGGGCTCCTTTTCCCTTTATTTGGTAATTATAACAGAGCTCATGCCCCTATAGCAATATAGAGTGCAATGAATTGAAAAAGTATGAAACACATATAGCTGATGATCAGAGATTAGAATGTTAGCTAGCTAGCAAATCAAAGCTATTCTAATTGAGTTTTGAAGACGATTCAAGTTCATCCTCCCCCTTAAGTAAGATCATGAGTTCATTAATGTCTGGAGAATTTAAGTATACAATGACAATTAACAATCCCTTCCAAAAAAAGTGACTATCAACAACTGAAGGTTTGATAGAGTACTACAGAAAAATTATGTACAAGAGCTTACATATTACATACACCGACCAAATGGTTAGATTGATACGTATGTTGCAATTCTGTCATACTTGGGACTGGACCAAATGGTTAGATTGATAGAATTGGGGGCTGACATCTGTATGTGTTAATGTGTTATACCCCCTGATATTTATTGTTCCAAGCTTACTTTGATGTACATGAAATAGCTTTGAAAGATGACTTAGGACCATTTTAATCTGTCACCCAGTCACCAAAATGGTTGTTTATTGTCTGGTCCCAGAATGACAACATTGGTTTATTGTGCAATTATTCAAGTCAAATGAACATGCCGAATCCTGCTCTTTTAGCTAACAAATAACAAACCTTTCTACTGCTTTGCGCAAGTTTCTAAGTTTAGGGATCGGATAGAGGAAGAAGAGGGTTTGGTTCATAATGTCTATTTGTCTAGGAATATGTCCAATCCCCATAATTTTGCACTTCTACTCATAGTTTAATAGGGTGGAGCTGTTGGACATTAATTAACAATATGGGGTTGATGGTCATGGTCATGGACCCCACCCCCTCCTGTGTCCAGGAAAAGAAGGCTTATTCAATTCATCCGGAAGGAAGAGGAGAGAGTTCTCCATGGCCATTAACAACAGTTTATGGCTTCTGGGTACCCAGAGGATTGCACATTCACTTGAATTCTTTGGAGCATAAATTCACTGCAGAATAACGGAGAAGAAGACAGGAAAAGGAGTGAACAAGAAGCTTAAAGTTTCATTTCACTAATTAGACTTCTTTCTTTCTGTCATTTCAGAAAGGCTTTTATATTGACTTGAAAAGCATGTAGATATAGAGTTTTGGGAGGATGGGATCCTTTCGAGTTTAACGATGAAAATGTCATTCTTCATCATTCCTTCAAATATTACAAGAGTGCAAAAAGAAAAAGGTCCTTTCTTGAACTCTAATAGCGCATGTATTTCCTACAAACTCAATTCTACAATCCTCTCTACTAACCCAATAAAACAATGCTACCAGTACCTAAACCTCTTTTGAGTCTTTAACTTTGCAAATAACATGGACGGTGTTATTACCCCTCCGTTAGACATGTATTCCTTAAAATAATATGCATGATTTTGCCTCTCTCTTCTCTGCTCGATGTTATCTTCGGCCCATGGAATGCCTACAAAGATAAAACTGAAGTGAAGATGGGCGTCCTTGACCTAATTGTGAGCTCAGTGGAATCACAAAGGAATTCCAAGATTTACTCAATGGAAAGGCAAATCACCATCAAAGATCGATTAAGGGAGGTTCTGGTCTGAAAGTGAGCAGAACGAGTTTCATAATAGAACTGTTATGGTTTGGATTCTAGGCTTGGAATTAGTTGTCTACTAGCCTCCATATACAGTGGTAGATTTCCATTCATAGGAGGAGTGAAGTTTGGGATGACCGGTAATGAACTATTTTGCCTTGTTTCAGTTGCAGAAAACAGAGCAATAGTGTCTATACTCGATTGAGTTGCAAAAGCAAAGAGGATGAAAATGGAAGTAAAAGCAAGAAAAATAAGGGGATGCCTACCTTTTCTAACCTGTTCAAAAACAAGTTGTTAACAAGATTGATGCAGATTCAACATAAATTGGAGCTGGGATTTCCATACATATTGAATAAGAGATTGACTTATATTTGAAGGGTTTTGAGAGGTTCAGAAGGCATATGAGATGGGATCGTCATAATTAGCATATATATAATGAGATGATTGTAGTGAGAAAAATTGTGACGTTAGGTGACAAAAATTTGTTGTCCGGTGAATGTAACAAATTCCGGAACATCAGAAAGGAGAGGGTGAGGAATTACAAAGAAATTGTGCACAAGGAAAAAAAAGAATTTTTTAAGAAAAGATGTCTAACAGAAGGACAATAACACCTGTTAACTATTTGCACAAGTTAGGATTCTAAAAATGTTTAGAGACAGGTGGCATTGTTTTATTGGGTTAGTAGAGAAGATTGTAGAATTGAGTTAATAGGAAATCCGGACTGTCTCATTTCATACCCTTAGGTGTAATTCATTCAGTGCTGAACTGAAAATAAAGCAAGTTCATATTTGTTCTTGTTTCAATCTTGTAACTAGTGAATGGGAGCGTGTTAATTGAATCATCACTCCCTCGTAAGGTGTAATGGATCATTTATTATTAACATTTGCACGCATTAAGTGCTTATGCATTTTGAGGAAATTGATTGTTCAAGCTTGTCTTTTTAGCCATTAACCTATGTGGATCGAACCAAACAGAGTATAAATAGATGGCTTTTTTTTTCTGAAAAATGGGGTGTTCATATAAATAAAGAAATTAATAAAAAAAATCAACTTAACCCATGCAAATTAAATTAAGGGATTATAGCAGTTAAAGGCAACTTTTGGCACTTAATATCAATAAAAGTAATATATTTAAACAAATGGATTAACTTTTTAAAAATAATATCAGTTAAGGGCAAAAATACCGTTCATCATCTTCTTCTTGCAATCCATTCATCGCCGCCGTCCGTCGTTGCCAACCGCTGCTTGCCGTCACCTTCGGCAACGTTGCCGGAGGTGGGCAGTGGCAAAGGTGGCAGTGGTGTTGGTGGGTGGAGGTGGCGGCGTAGGGTAGAGGAATGACCACCAGTGCTGCCGCCGCCGCCTCTGTCTCCTCTCACCTCCGGCAACATTATCGGAGACGAAGGCGGAGGTGGCGGCATTGGGCAGAGGAATGATCACCAGCGCCGCCGCTGCCGCCTCTGCCTCCACCCACCTTCGGCAACGTTGCCGGAGGGGGCGGAAATAGGAGGAGGCGCCTATGAATGGATTGCAAGAAGAAGAAGATGAACAGTATTTTTGCCCTTAACTGATATTATTTTTAAAAAATTAACCATTTTTTTAAATATATTACTTTTATTGATATTAAGGGCCAAAAGTTGCCCTTAACTGCTATAATCCCTTAAATTAATCTTCATTTTCAGCAAGGATTCAGTCATTATGGTGCAACAAGGTTGAGTGATGAGGCAGAACTAAAAAGGGGTTTTAATTGTTTAGTCCACCCCTAGGGTGGAACTAAGATTTTTAGGGGTAAACTGAATCCTAATTATGGATTGATACCAAATCCACATACAGGATGTGGTTTATAGGCGGGCTACTAGTAGACTAGGAGGTGGTGTAATTTCAGCTGAGGGCGAGTTGTAATCCCAACTTGGGATTGGGGGCATTAATTAATGTGTGAAGAAACGAGTAGGGTATCAAATTGGTTCTGTGAGTGGGCTTGCCAAGAAATGATGGCACTGTCCCATCGCGGGTAATGTCGATACATACATTCTGCAGAACCACTAAGAGCCAGGGCCGGATCTGCTCCTCACACCTGGCGCCTCACACGCACATCCTATCATGCATTGGGAACATCTCCCGTACTTATTAGTTATAATTTACAGGAGAAGATATTCCCAATACATGGTGGATGTGCCTGTGAGGCGCCCATTTGTGAGGGGCAGATCCCATCACCCAAGAGCCACCTTCTTGAATTGTGGGACTGGAGAGTGGAGACTGGGGACTGGGGACTGATATTCTGTTTGGATGCAATTCTACTCTCTTTGTCCTTCACCATTTATAAATTCTTAGGTTGTTAATTCGATGGGTTCCATACTTCCATCCGCACGCATTTGTTTCCTGAGGGTTCAATGTCCTTTCTCATGCCAAGGAAGGAGTTGCCATGACTGTACGTTTGTGTATAAACATTATTTATTTTTGGGGCCAGGGCTACTAAAAACAAGGGGAAAAGAAGAGGAAAGAAAAACAGAAGATTCTGGAACTGAACTGAAAAAGGACTGCAAGCACGGACCAACTAAAAAAAGCAGGTTTAGAGGTATCCAACTCTTTAACCTCACCACACAACCACCAAAAGGAACTCGCACTGCATGCGTGCGAATCTATTCTTGGATCATGTCGTACTTTTCTTTGGAGGAAATATGTCCACAAAACTACTTTATATGTAGGATATCTTTACAAACTTTTATAAATGTGCGTACATCTGGTTTGTTTTTGTTTTTTCAGGATGGGGCTCTTGAATGCAAGAATGGTGACATATCAAATAGCTTGAAACATTTCTTAACCCTGATTGGATGATTCAGATTCATCTTGATGGGTAGCCCCCACAGGTACCAATGCAATCATCATTGTCGCTTTTTTTTTTGGGGGGGGGGGGGTGGGTAAAAAAGGGACATTTAATTAATCAAGCTCAAGGGCCATTGGCCATTACAACAAAGTCTTTAATACATTTTCAGGCTAAAGAGGCGG